TGCATGATAAATACAATCGGCTATTAAGATTAAGAGACGATGGAGATTCTACCTTTCGATAGTGAAAATACGTTTAACATCCCTCAAAAAAATACGAGATAATTGTAATCTTGCGCTCTGATGGTAAAGGTACATTGATCCTAATTACACGAGATAGTAAAAGTAATATCTAGTATTAAAGTTACATGCAGCTAATGAGTACTCTTGATGGGGGTAAAGAAATCTCGCATTGACTTCATTAATGTACATGTATATTTCTACCTAATTCGCGGTTCGTGCTTCGCGCTCTCACACTATAATCAATAATTAAGATTAGGATTAAAAGTAAATTTATCATCAGTATAATTACAAATTTGTAATCAGTAAATATTAGATATATTGTATATATAGCAAAAGCATTCTGGAAAGTAAACACTTTTCAGGTTAGTATCATTTCATGACATCGTGGGTATACACCTTAGTAGACCAATAGCTAAATATTTCGGATCTCTACAAATCTTTACGTTTCTCAATTGTGTGTGGAGATGTGTCTGTAATTTAAAGAAATAAGTGCATAACCCTTTTAGTTAAACTGGAACTATGAACAGTACGATAGTGTTTCTCATATTCAAGATATGACTTTTACGCTTGGGATAGTAAAATTACTACACGATCGTATGGAATTTTTAAAGATTTCGGCTTCGCTGATAATTACTATCTTGACATTTAATTTAACAATCCGGAAAAACATTTTACGAACTAATAGTGAAATCCCTACGCTGAGCATAGGTCCTTACTTTACCTAGGCTGAGCATAGTGATTTTACTGCAGAATTTCTTACAGTGTAGCAAAGATTGTCATTCTTGTACCGTTTATCAGACGACATGACAGCCTTGCCAACCAGACCATGAATAATACCAATTTTTTGGGATAATGGGAAGCCTATGTAGAAATATACATATATGCAACAGCATGTAATTAAAATTTTTCAAAAGTTACATTTTAATTTTCACTCTTAGTTTTCATGATCCAAAAAAATTGGTATTATTGATTGTCTGGTTGATAAAAGTGTCAAGTTGTCTGATAAACGGTTTTAGAATGACAATTTTTGCTTCGTACACTCTGTGCAAATTGCAAACAATTATCCTTTACATTTTATAAATAAATACGTTAAATAAGAGTTAAATAAAATACATAATTGAAGAAATAATCACAGTGAGTTTTCCAAAAATTTACCTTTTAATGATACAATAGTGTTTCCTTACGTAAAACCAATAGAATTAAAAATTAAGAAGATAGCAAATAAACATAAAGTAGAGGTAGTTTACAAACTTGCTAATAAATCCAAGAAACCTGACAACTTGTATAAAGATAAAATGAATAAGACCGAAAAATGTAATATTGTTTATAAAATACAGTGTTTAGGTGATCCATGTAGCTGTGCAAGTCGGAGTAGTAAAAAATTAAGAACGAAAATCGACAAACATAAGAATATATAAATAAAAAGTGTAAAACGCGTAAGACTAATTACTATGGTGATATTTGTAAAAGAAAAAAGAGAGAAAAGTCAGCCTTATTTTCCCATACTCTTGATACAGCACAATTGTCTCAATTTTGATCAGGATGCAATAATAATTTTAGATTAAGATAATGAGAATCACAAGAGCTTACTTTAGAAAAAGATTTATATAGAAAAACGAATAAATAAGATTGATAAAACCAGTGATACACAAAGCTAAAGTTTCACTTAAAAAAAAAAAACATTAACAAATTGATAAGCTGATAACCACTTTTTACGTTTTAAAACATTTTATCATTTGTCTGCAATGTATTTTTTTTGTCTTATGTATTTAATTTTTATTAGTTTTCACTTTTACTATTTGAATCCTGCGCTATTTTAACCCTCGTTTGTCACTAGTAATGTGACTGATAACGATAAAATCATCGTACTTATGTGATATGATCATTAATACACGTTGTTTAGTAGGCAAAACTACATCGTTAATTTTTAAGCTGACGAAATATAACTTTTGTGATCTTGATTCTGGAGTAAATATTCAACGTTGCTTACTTGTATGTTTCAAGATTGTGTGCCATTTTTATTGTTTTCTTGCCTTGTGTATAATTGATATAACTTGTAAGTAGATTGTTTCTAGTTTCTATTGTTACAGTTTGCATAATAAGAGTTGTTAGTATACAACCTAGAAGTTGTACACACTTTAAATTAAAAATAGGCTTTTCGACAGTATGCCAAAAATTCATTCATTCATTCATTTACATTATTTATCAACTTCTGCTGTGGTTAAAAGTAAGAAACTTTTTTATCATAATAATAATTATAAAAATGATAATAATAACCTTAACGATGATGACGACAATAATAGTGACGATAATGATAATAAAAAGAATAAAGACAAATATAATATAGATGACAGTAGTGGTATTTATTTTGGTGCAAGCGACAATAATGATGCTGATAGCAAAAATAATGTTAGTAACATTAATAATAATCATGATAAAAATTATCAAAATCAAGTGATGGTAATAATATTTATAAATTTTACTATAATAATGATAGAAAAGATAATAATATGATAATGTTGGCAACGATATTGACAATAACAACAACAATGATGATAGCATAACTTGGACGATAATACGGTCATGATAATAATAATAATTATCAAATTAATGATAATAGTCATATTAAAAAAAAATAATGATGATAATAATCATGATAATGATAAGTTTTTTGATGCTGTTAATAACCATAATAATGACAGTAAAAATTATATTTTTAATAATTCGAATAATGATAATAATTATATTAATCATTATAGTACTAAAAATATAAATGACAGATTTTATTATAAAAAAAATTAAGAAAATAGTAATAACAATCAAAGACATTATATTTATGATTGAAATGAGGATGATAATAATGATAATGATAGCACTAATTACGAAAATGTCAATAATAAAGATGATTAAAATAATAAGATTAATGGTGATAAGCTTATAATTATGATAATAACAAAATTTATAATAATAATAAAAGTACTAATAATATTTATATTAACTTCAATGATGATAATGATAATTATGACTTTGAGGATAATATTAACTGCAAAGATGATAACGATAATTATAATAACATTATTAACGACAACAATAATATGGATGTCAATGATAGTATCGATTTTGGTAAAAATGACGATAACAATACTGACAATAAGAAAATGTTCGTTATAATAATAATAATAATTATAATAATAATAATAACATTCAAGGCGATAATGCTTATAGTGATGATATGTGTAATGATAATGACAGCAAATTTTGCAGTAAGAATTGTTACGACGATAATGGTAATGATTACAGTAATTATGATGGTAAGTATGATGATGATGATAAAATTGATAATGATAACAATAATAGTAAAAATTATAATAATAAGGACAATAATAATGATAATTCTGTTGGTAATAATGATGATATTATGGAAAAAAAGATGGTGTTGATAATGATATTAAGAATGGCTATGTTAATGATGATAGTGATAATAGAATAGATCATAATGGTTAAGATGATGACAACGACTATAATAATAATCGTGTGGATAATAAAAATGATAGTGGTAAGGTTAATAACAATGAAAATGATGATGACACTGATATTGATAATGTTAATAATGACGATGATATTGATAGTGATGATGATTATAATGATTGATGTTATAATAATAACTATGATGATGATGTTTATGATAAAAATGATAATAATAATAATGATAGTATTACTTACGTGTACAAAAACGGTAATATTGTTTGCTATTATACTACTGCTAATTATTATGATATTTTAGTTAATGATCATTTTACTTTCAAAGAGAAAAATTATGATAAAGATGATTATCATTACAATGATGATGATGATGATGATGATGATGATGATGATAATGATGATGATGATGATGATGAACGATGATGATGATGATGATGATGATGATGATAATGATGATGATGATGATGATGAACGATGATGATGATGATGATGATGATGATGATTATGATGATGATGATGATGATGATGATGATGATGATGATGATGATGATGATGATGATGATGATGATGATGATTATGATGATGATGATGATGGTGATGATGATGATGATGATGATGGAGAAAAAGATGGTGATGGTAATGAGAATGGCGATGTTGATAATGATAATGGTTATGGCCATGTTTATGGTAAAAGTAAGCATGATTATAATAATGATAAGTATATAAACGATCAAAATGTTTTTGTTCATCATAATGATGTTGATCATGATATCTAATGAGCTGATGATTTTGAAGATCATATTGATAATTTTTATGATGGTTTTTATAGTGATGTTATTGTTGGTTAAGTTTTTAATAGGAAAACTTTTTTATGAGTATTTCTTAAGGTTATTTTTGTTGACTGTTATTCAACCTTGACTATGTATTTTTTCTTACTACGACTTTAGGTTTTGCTGATTTTCTGTTGAGATTTTTTTTACGTTGATTAAAAATTATTGATGCACGTTTTTTTAGCCTTGTAGCTCAACTTTTTTTATGTGTAAAGTATGCGTGTTTTTTGTTGTTTTCTTGTTTCATTTAAGTTTTTGTTGTCAGTAGTCTTTTTATTTCGAGTTTTTTCTAGGGTCTTTTGTTTTAAATTTAATAATAATTTTTTTGACGTTTTTGTGTCCTTCTTTCTTTAAGTTTTGTCATTATTTAATTTAAAACTATTGATTTCAGCGATTCATGGTTACTTATAGATTATTTACGTGGTTGTTTAACATTTTTTTTCTTCATAGTTGATTTACATACATAGCTGTATTATTAATAATATTTTATAGTTTTTGTGACAACTTCCAAAAATTTTTTTTGTTCACAGTTTGTTTATTAGATTTTACCGTATATTTACATAACAAGTATCAATTTATTATTAAAATTTCGTTTGTAGCGAATCTAAATTTTTTTTTTCTATGAAGCTTGCTCTATCAAAATGCAGAAACACAGCTATTGGTATTCCGGGAAAAATTAAAGGAATTTCTGGGGGTGAGATGAAAAGATTATCATTTGCTTCTGAAGTTCTTACTGATCCACCACTTTTGCTTTGTGATGAACCTACATCTGGACTGGATTCTTTCATGGCTCATCAAGTAGTATCAGTTTTAAAAAAACTTGCAGGTATGGCTTACGGTTATTTCCATGTTTTTTTGTTATACTTGACGTTGTTTGTAGGAAACTTTTAACAAAGTAGCTTATAAACAGTCACTATTTTTCGTATAAACACGTAAAACTATTGTTTTGCTATTATTTAACATACTTTGTTAAAAGGACTTTTTTGGATTTTATTATTAGTTATTTCACATGTTGTCATTAAAGCTACAAAATCTGTGTTAGCCCTTTATGGTAATGTTCTCAATTAACGGGGTTTGTTTTATTTTCAATAAAAGCAGCCAATTTATGATTATTTAATTTTAGAATGTCTGCTGCTATATTTTTTCTTCTTAATTATTTCAAAAAAATTCTTAGAGTCTTGCAAGACTGACCACAGAACGTTAAAGTCTCGTGTTTATTTTTTTATGCTTAACTTATTTCTGGACTGCACTGTTCGCAAGCCTTAAACAAACTGAAATGACTTTATTATAAATAAAATTTATTTAACAGATAGATTATTCTATACGGAAAAAGATGTAAATTAATTACCAAAGATATATGGCACCACCGTCCAGCATGCCTTTGACACCTTGCGCCCAACAGGCCTCTCGCGCAGGAAGCAACAGTCAGACCCTAGAACCATCTTCTACATCGGCGCAAGCTAGCTCTCTCTCACTCGCGCCTACATAGGGGTGCCTATACTACCACAACTTCTACGGTGTTAAACATTACATCGGCTACAAGCCTTCTTCTTGTACTCTTATACAGTTAGTTTCTTTTATATAGCCTTAAGCTGCGACACGTGCCTACAGCCCTTTGAGCCGCGTCCCCTTTATAATAAATTTGTTCTACAATAAAGGCATTTCCATGCAATCTGTATTTGCTTTGAGTTTCTTCACTCAAGCCCAGAATCCTATAGACTATACCCCGAAGATGTATGTAAATTTTGTCATGTACTTACTTGGTACTTATAATGTTCAAATCTAAGTGAAATATTCAATACACTTAACTTAATTTTATTCCAAAAGTGTGCAAAATAAGGGGTTTTTTTACGTTTATTGCAAGATTAAACGAGAGTTCATTGATTGTATTTTTCTTATTTTGCATCAAGTAGCTGTTACAGTAATAAGGTGCTGTGTAATGTTATGTGTTTTAATGTAAGACTTTATTTAAACCTCATGGTATATCTACTTATCCTTCCAAAAAATTTTTGCGTAGATTATTAACACATAATGGTAAAAAATTGCATGTATACGTACAATTTATATAGTACAGAAAGTATAAAATGTGATACAAACTCAGAAATATAATTCAAGCAAGAAAATACCTAATATAAAACTTAATATAATTACACAATTTTTTGAGAGTAAAACCATTTGACGAATCTTAGGATATGAATCATCGAAAATGTTCATTTATAGCAATTGAGTGTGTCACAAAAGATGTTTAAGAAATTATTCTTATCGTGGGTTGGTATATTTTTCGTGTTTTATGTATTACTAAGAGTGACTCTTAAGATATGTATTGTAGTATTACATTATTTTGTTAGTAATAATTTTAAAAAACACTATGCAATTAAAAGTATTCGGGAAAATTTCATCCACAAAATCAAACTATGACTTATGTGACAATGTATTCTTTCTATCCAATTTGCTCTTTTTCTGACTCATAAAAAATGAAAATAATAAAGCCTTGAAAGTCCTTATTTGTAGCTGCTAAAAAGTGGTTTGGCATAAATTATTCATGAGAAATCAAGACTAAACAGAAAATGAGCGTCTATTAAGCTTTGTTTTGAACGGAGGGATCAAAAAATAGTGGGAGGGTTGTCTTTGCGATCGACGCAGTCCAAGGTGATCTGAGGCTTGGTTGTGAAGATACATAAGGTAGTCTGCAGTACTATGTCATAGAGTTAAATATGCTAGAATTCCTAAAAGATAGTTCTGGCGTTGAGGCAGTGAGAGCAATCCTAGTTTGGAACGATGGGGCGCAACTCTAGATCTCCAACAATAATTTATTTAGCGAGTATGGGAGAGCGTGTTTGAAGTATTTTAAGCTTTACAGTGACCAAAAGACGTGACTAAAAATATGTTGGGCATGGCGTTCCTAATAAAACGTTAGAATTTGCCAAAATTCAAGGTTTTGTACGGTTGATGCATGCTGCAGTTTAACTCTACTGACCATAACGATGGGAAACTCAGGCAAAGTAAGTTGTGCCAGTGTTTATGTACTACCTAGGATAGTTACTAGAGTTCTCTAAAGATTTGGTTATAAATTTTTATCTACTACCCAGTCTATAAGTGCACTTGAGTCTAAGTTCACCTGTTCGATTGTTCGATTCCTGATCTTATGTCTTGCGGATAACATATGTAATACATGTGCGTATTGTCGGCATAAATCATATGTTTGCAGTGTTTCATAACAAAACGAGGATCATACATGTAAGTAAGAAAGAGTAGGGGGCCAAACACACTTCTTTAAGGGGTACCAGTTTTTAAAGGGAGCCAATTAGACTGACGGTAGCCTCCAATAATCACCACAGACTTGCATCTAGCAAAATAAGAAGATAACCATTTTAGAAAAAAAAAATCGCAGATTATACAATAAAATTTTATTAAGCAAGCGTACGTGAGAAAACTTATAGTCAGTGTATGTATATGAGTCAAGTGATAAACCTGAAAAGTTGTCAAACTGTGAAGGAGCGATGATGAAGAAGCTGCTAATCAATAACTGGCTAATGCCACATTAGTGGAATCCGTGGAATAGTAAGATCGTGCATAGTTAATTAGGTAGATGTAACTGAAAACTTTAAATGGAAAAATTTCTGCTTCACTAAGACTATTGCTTAGTTTAGCCTTTCTTTAAGGAGTGATAATGTTTCGTTGAACTCGAATGAAGTAATGATAACTGGCTATTGAAAACCTTAATAAAGATTCCTGTTTGTGTCGTATGCTAAGACATAAGTTATGCATCACCATGTTAACTTAAGAAAATTACTATCGGTAATGCATACAAAAGTCATTCTTACTACCAGCTTCGATTATATTTTTCTTTTAAAGGAAGGAAGTACTTTTTTTTTATTAATAAGTAAGTAATGACGATTTTTCCGTACAATTAATGCTTTTATTAGGCTCTGTAATTTATACGTACAGACCATAGTATAAGAAAACTAAAATGTAGTCTCTTTTTTCTTACATAACAAACTTTAATGTCATCACGTTTTTATTCTTACAACGAATCGATTATATAAATACTGGAACCACTAAGCGTACTATAATTTGTGAAAAGTTACTAAACTTAACTACTTATTATACTATCTTTCTTATTACTTTAGAATTATTTTTTTTATTAAAGTTTTCAGTGATAACTAATAAATATCAATAACTCTTGATAATCTTTATGCCCCAAATAAAAAAAAAGGCTATGAAAAAGATAGCATACAGTGCGTGCCTGGCAATAACGCAAGTATCGTACATAGTTTGCCAGCTGTTTTTTTTTTTTGGGCATTTTTTTTTTTTTTTTCTGTGTCAACTATATTATCAACCTAATTAAATATTTCAAATAAGCTTTATGTTACGGAACATCCGCAGCATCCAGAGATATTGATGCTCATTACTCACAAAATTTCCTACTGGTGGTCATATGAATCGTTTAACAGTTGTAATGTCAATGAACTATTGTTGATACGATGACTAATTTTTTTTTCTTTCATTCCTTTAGAGTTTTCAATGTTGATTTAGAAAGCATTTAAAGCAAAAATCAACGTGCATCCGAAAGAAAGTGATTACCTTCAAGTTCATTCGTAGTTGCTGTACTAAAATCAAATATGACTCACGCACCTATGGGCTGGCCCATAGTTACTAGAAAAAATCTAATATTGCCCTATAGGTAGATAAATAAAACAAGCTTCAGAAAGCAATAGATGCAAAAAATTAGCTCGAAACAGCTACTCTGAAAAACCAGATTAAATGCTGGCATATTTTACACTTTATACGTATACACTAAAATAAAACAAAAATATAGTCAAGCAGTTGAAACGGACACCTGCCGACAACATTTATAAAAGCTACAGACAGCAAAAACTATGTATTAATCAGGGAAAATTAAGCACAGTAATATTGTTAACCTTACATCCTACTTTAACTATTTGTTTTGGCAGATGAATAATTTTCCAAGTTACTTTTTTTCTACACATTTTTGTGAACTGTTTGTAATATTATTTTTTAGCAACCTTATAAATTTCTTAATATTTTCTATGTATTACCAAAGAGAAAAAAGTCTGCTATTGCCCTTCTCTTCTTCCTAGCTTGGTGACGTTAAAAGAGAGATAGAGAAAGAGAAAGCGAGAGTGAGAGAGAGAGCGTCTAAAAGTTTGCCTTTAACATAAGGTAACAAAGTATCCGCATCCTTAAGGCACGATGAACTGACTTTCTTTCTGACAACTAGCAGTAAAAAATATGTTGACCAAACTTTTATCAAATAGTTTGAATTATTTTTGCAACAATATAATCTGTCAAAACTGCCCGTAAATCAACTTAGGTTTACGTACGGCAGGCGCAGTAATATTGTTGTTTCTATTACTCTCATTATCTTTACTGTCATAACAATTATTACTATTAGGTAGACGACTCTAATGCTTGTCGGTAAACTAGAAATTGAATACGATCAATAGGTATACAAGCGAATGTTGATACATCATAACCATTGTATCAAGAGGTGCATACGTATAGATGGTGACACATTTTATACAAGCACTCGATATCTTCTTTACGTGCTGTTTTTTTCGCCAATATACTTAACACTAACAATACTCAACCATATAACTTCTTTTTCACGAAATTTCCTTGAGAAATAAAAAAGAATGATGTACATAATTTCTAGTTTACTGACAAGCATTAGAGTTATATACCTACTATATCGAGCTTAGGTGAAAGACAGCTCTAAAAATTAAGAATGAGAAACTTATCTAATCTTACGGTGTGAGTAAATGTACGGCTTCTCGGTAACTTAAGTGATAGAGCCACTGTCAA